TTTTTTTTTTTTTTTTTTTTTTTTTTTTTTTTTTTTTTCTATTTCCTTGCCAAAATAGGGAACTTATTTAAAGTAGTGATTAAGAAGCCAGTTTCTCCTGCACTTTGTTTCATTGATAGAAAAAATGCCTACTACTTCAGAATAGGATGGCCTTGTAGATCGAATTTAAATTGTTATACTTAAATCCATAGTGAAATATCCCAGCAAATTTGCATCTGGATGGGGATGAAGAAGAGACAATTTTCAAACTAGGAAATACAGGAAGATATGTTCCAATGACTCTTACATTTTTTGATTGCTACAACCCATCTCCCCTATTACGTGGAAAATAATATATTTTAAATCAAAGGAAATCCTGTATCTCTTCTTTATCTGGTAGGATTGATTTGGTGCAGGGAGGGACTGAGATACTCCTTGAGGTAGTTTGAGTGTTCTTAGACTATAGAACCATCCCTTTATTAGAATATCCCGTTTCTTGATACCTCATTCTTCTGTTGGTTTCCTACTGTCAGGTACATGTTATAATTAACCTTTTGAGGCAAAATCTAAATACATATGCATATTTACTTTTCAGCAGTTTAACTCACAGTCAAGTTACATAACAGTTTGGGGGGGGGGTCAGTTTCTTATCTATGAAAATAGGTTGATTTTTACCTCTCAAGGCCATTGTGATGATTAAATGAAATAATAATAATGTGAAAGTGTTTAACAGTGTCTACCCTGTATTGGTACTTAGTAAATGTTTTTTTAAAAATTGTAAGGCAACAGATGGCCCTAAGGGGCAAAGGACCTATTATATCCAAAACAAAGGGAAGCTCATAGGTAGAGTTACTTCCTACTTTCTCTCCAGGGCTAGTATCTTTATGCTTTTATCAGACTCTTCATTGACTGAAGCTGTGCATATATGGCACACAGGCACCAGCTTAGTTCATCTGTCCTACACTTAGAGAAAGTTTGTAAAGTCATCTTTCTGATTCCCTCTGTTCCACCCCGACTCCTGTACTTAAAAAAATGTTTTAATGAAGTATAACCAATTGAAACACAAGGCCTCTCACTAGAATCTGTCCTACACTTAGAGAAAGTTTGTAAAGTCATCTTTCTGATTCCCTCTGTTCCACCCCCACTCCTGTACTTAAAAAAATGTTTTAATGAAGTATAACCAGTTGAAACACAAGGCCTCTCACTAGCGTATGTATTAGTCGCAAAGTCAAGTAGCTACTTCAGCAACAGTTTTGTTTTGGGAAGAGCAAATGAACAAAGACGCACTGTGTCTTTGTCTCCCAGCATTCTGGGTATGAATAATTTAGAAAAGTACTTGCATTGTGATAAGCGGCTCAGTATGTATAAATAGCACTGAGGCTTGCTTATGCTTTATTCTTACTTTCTTCCAAAAGAAAAGTTTGGGAAGCAAAGCAAGAACTTTGGTTATATTTGTGTAAGAAAAAGAGCCAGGAAACAGCATTTAGCCTGACAGACCATTCATTTTCGACAGGTTGCCTGTGTTTTCCTTTTAATCTTTACTTGCTACCAAAGAAATACTGCTTAAGGGCCTCCTCCTGCTTGGGTGGTGTCCACATCAATTTGACAAATGGGCAATTTGCATTTGTCTCTATTTCCCTCTGTAACTTTTGAGAAAGTTCACTTCTTTTTAATCAAACCTGTACATGATGGAAGCGTATTAAGGCACACCAAAGCAGTAATGAGCACAGAGGGTCCACAGTTCTTAAGAGGCAGAACATCTCCCTTCCCCATGTTGCCGGCTGCTTCATGGGGAGATGTTAGCCAAGACTCCACACTTACTTTTTGGAATGACCCAAGAGAGACACTATTTTGTCGTTCTCCCACCCAGAGAAATACACTCTTTTGAATAGACACCAAGATCTTTTCTTCTTCACTTTCCAACATTGTGTTGTTCATCTTTTCCCTTTAGGGGAAGAACATATTTTGAGAGGAAAAAAAACTGCCTTTGTTCCCCTCTGACTTTCTGAGGCAGGTCTTGAGCTTGTGAAGCTGGTTAAAACTTTTCACTTAAGGTCACAAAAGTTCTTGTGGTTAGTACCCATTCCTTCTATGCATGAAGTCTTGCAAGAAGTGCTAGGGAGAAGCCTGCTAGGGTGACACGTCCTGGGCTTACCTAGTTCATGCTTCACGGAAGCATCTTACCACTTCACAGGAAAATGGCTTTGAAAAGCACTCCTGGGTTATGCTAGCTTGTGTGACATGTGTTTTTCCTTCATGAAAACCCCTGTTTAATGCAGTTGTAGAAGAGAAAGTAATTGGAGGTGGTAGGAGGCTTGGTGTAGGCTGATAGGAAGGCAAAACGTGGAAGTCTGGTTCAGTTTTGGAAATCTGGTGCTGAGAATGGCAGGATGCCTGGGGGGAGGGGTAAACACAAGCAGTGTGTGAGGTTGGGCAGTGGGGAGGGGGTGGAGAAGGAAGCAATTACCTTCTCTGTTTTTGTCCTGGAAGGGTGTCAACTAATCATTTTAATGAGAGTGGTTATTAATTATTGTAAGCATTTTTTTATTAATAAACTTTATTTTTTAGAGCAGTTTTAGGTCCATAACAAAATTGAGCAGAAAGTACAAAGAATTCCCATGTACCCACTGTCTTCTCACACACACACCCCTCCCCACTATGGACATCCCCACCACAGTGGTACATTTGTTATAATTCATGAACTGACATTGATACATCATTAATCATCTCCAAAGTCTATAGTTTACGTTAGGGTTCACTCTTGTTGATGTGCATTCTGTAGGTGTGGACAAATGTTTAATGACATGAAGCCACCATTACAGTATCATACAGAATAGTTTCACTGCTCTGTAAATCCTCTGTGCTCTGCCTGTTCATCTCTTCTTCCCCCCAGTCCCTGGCGGCCTGATCCTGATCCTTTTACCATCTCCATAGTTTTGCCTTTTCCAGCATGCATATAGTTGGAATCATACAGTATGGAGCATTTTCAGATTGGCTTCTCTCACTTAGTAATATGCATTTTTCTCCATGCCTTTTTGTGGCTTGATAGCTCATTTCTCTTTTAGCACTGAATAATATTCCATTGTCTGAATGTACCGCAGTTTATCCATTCACCTACTGAAGGACATCTTGATTGTTTCCAGTTTTTGACAATTATGAGTAAAGCTGCTATGAACATCCATGTGCACATTTTTATATGGACATAAGTTTTCAACTCATTTGGATAAATAATGAGGAGTGTGATTGCTGGATAGGTAATGGTAGGAGTATGTTTAGTTTTGTAAGAAATTGCTAAACTGTCTTCCAAAGTAGCTGTACCATTTTGCATTCCCACCAGGAGTTCCTGTTGCTCCACATCGCCCAGCATTTGGTGTTGTCAGTATTGTGCATTTGGGCCATTCTCATGGGTGTATAATGTATCTTGTTTTAATTTGCATTTCCCTAGTGGCATCCGATGTTGAATGGCTTCTCATATGCTTACATGCTATCTTTATAACTTTTTTGGTGAGGTGTCTGTTCAGGTCTTTTACCTATTTATTAATTGGGTTGTTCATTTACTTGTTGGTGAGTTTTAAGAGTTCTTTGTGTATTTTGGATAATAGTTCTTTATCAGATGTGTCTTTTGCAAATATTTTATACTAGTCTGTGGCTTGTATTCTCATTACTTAACAGTGTCTTTCACAGAGCAGAAGTTTTTAATTTAATGAAGTCCTGATATCAGTTATATCTTTCGTATACAGCGCCTTTGGTGTTGTATCTAAAAAAACATTGCCATACCCAAGATCATCTAGATTTTCTCCTATGTTATCTTTCAGAAGTTTTATAGTTTTCATTTTACATTTAGGTCTATGATCCATTTTGAGTTAATTTTTGTGAGGGGTATAAAGTATATATCTAGATTTCAGCTTTTGCATGTGGATGTCCAGCGGTTTCAGCACCATTTGTCAAAAGGTAGTCTTTGTTCTGTTGTATTGTCTCTGCTTCTTTGTCAGAGATCAGTTGACTCTATTTATGTGGGTCTATTTCTGGGCTCTCCATCAGTTCCATTGGTCTATGTATCTATTCCGCTTATACCACACTGTCTTGATTAATGTTATAGTAAATCTTGTAGTTGTCCCACAGTTCTTGGATATTCTGTTCCTGTTTTCTTTTGTTTAAATCTTTTTTCTTTGCTTTCTAGTTTTGGAGGTTTCTGTTGACAAATCCTCGAGTTCAGAGATTCTTTTCTCAGCCATGTCCAGTCTATTAATGAGCCCATCAAAGGCATTCTTCATTTGTATTACTGTGTTTCTGATCTCTAGCATTTCTTTTTGATGCTTAGAATTCTCTTCTCTCTGCTTACATTATGCATCTATTCTTGCATGTTGTCTACTTTTGCCATTAAAGCCCTTAGTGTATTAATCTTAGTTTTTAAAAATTCCTGTTCTAATATTTCCAAATTCCTGCCACATCTGACTCTCAATTTGAATGCTTTTTCAGTGTCTTCAAACTGTTGGTTTTTGCCTTTTAGTATGCCTTGTAATTTTTTCTTGGAAGGTGGATATGATATTCTGGGTAAAAGGAAGCGTGGTGAATAGGTCTTAAGTAATGTGGTACGGTTGGGAAGGTGGGCATTCTATAGTGCAGTGATTAGATTTCAGCCTTTTGGTGAGCCTGTGCTCCTAGACTTTGAACTTCACCAGCACTTCTCCAGTTTTTCCACCTTTAGGTGGGAAAGGATGGTTAGCATGGGCTGGAGTTGGGTTTTTCTCTTCTCCCATATGGTAGGCTAGAGTGGGCTAGAATTGGCTTTTTCCCATCCCCCAGATCATTAGGCTCTAATAAAACCCCAGCAGATTAGACTCTGATAAAATAGTTTCTCCTGAGGGCAGACTCTTTTAAGAACAGAGTGCTCTGGCGTCAATGATTTCTTTTCTCCTCCACCTGCTGGAGGCATGAGGGGATTTTTCTCCAATATTCACTAAGGACCTGGTCAAGCTCCTGGAGATAAAACTCACAAAAGTGTGGGGTCTCCTGTGACTGGGTCCCCCTGGGATTTTTTCTCAGACTTGTCCACACTGAGCCTCTAGCACTTCATCAATTATAGTTCCAGTTTCCCTACCCTGGAACTGGTTCCTGTGGAGGTTGCTGCTCATGGGTTTCTGCTCTGCTAAGCTGTGATTCTCTGTATTTGCCTTTGGGTTTCTCTACTTTTAGGGGTAGCGGTTTGACCTGTGACCTCACTTCTTTGATGGATCAAGAAGAGTTGTTGATTTTTCAGTTTGTTTAGCTTTTTACTTGTTAGGGTGGAGTTGTGACTTCTAAGTTCCTTACACGTGGTCTGGAAACTGGAGATTCAACATTTTTAAAAGAAAAAAGAATGCTAGATATTTAGGTTTTCTTGACCATTGAAGCAACAGGTTAAAACTGGTTAAAAGTGTTACCTGTAGTAGGGCAACTGTGCCTCCCCATGCCCTTTGGAACAGTTCTCCTTCCGAAAAGGAATGGGTAGACTTGGGGTCTTTGTCCTAACCACAGTTACTAAATTAGTTTCTAGCATGTCTGAGGTAGACCAGGGTGATCACCATTAAGAAGGTATTTGATTACTTACTATAATTTGGTGGCAGCTCTCTTGTCCAGTTCTAAGACTTTGACATCCATGATATTTAAAATAATTTTGAGTTCTTATTTTGCTTTGTGGAGAGTTGTGCAGTCTGTTTTCCTAGACTCAGACCTTTTTACAGTGTAACTCTCCATAGCTAAAGTGTGCTAAATTCTGTAGGCTTTCAAATAAACTTTTATAAATCAGTATATCTTTATATTTCAATTTAAATGGAACCCTTATTCCTAGTAGTTGAACTGTGTTTTCATAGACTAGTGAAATTCTTTTATATCAGTCTGACCCTTTGTGGAAGACCCAACCCTCAGCTATGGGAAGATTGCTTGTTGTTTCTACATCTCCCCAAATTAAGGAAACATCCTGATGATGGCAGTGCCCTATCTGCCCCAACCTTGGGCACTACACAGTGTGTGTGTGACGGTGTTCATGTTCTCACAGCTGTCTTGTGAGACACCTGTGGTATAGTTGAGGGACCACAGTGAGAATTGTGGGCTGGAACAGGGCTTCCCCCTGGGGCCTGTCTTGGGCCCTTTTGTCCCACAGGGCCTTCCTGTTCTTAGCCATTTGGGGGATTCTAGCCATTTTGTTTCCTGTGCCTGTAGTTCTAAATTGTTGGTAGGACAGAAGGTTTCAGAAAAGACTTTCTGCTGGGGCCGGCCCGGTGGCGCACTGCGCTAGTGCGCCGCTTGGGAAGCGCGGAGGCGCTCCCGCCGAGGGTTCGGATCCCACATACAGACCGGTTCCCGCTCACTGGCTGAGCGAGGCGTGGGGGCAACACCGAGGGTTGTGATCCCGTTGCTGGTCCTGGTCCGGTACGGGGGCGACACTGAGGGTTGCGATCCATTGCCGGACACGGAAAAAGACAAAAAAAAAAAAAAAAGACTTTCTGCTCTCGTTTACAGATGAGCTGTGTAAATTACTTTAACAGGGTTACTGGTTAAGTAATCTTGCTTCTTATTTGACCATGTGTGGTGTGAAACTAATCATGCTTTCACTGGAGCTTGCTTTTTTGCTATTTATTTCCTGAAACAACCAGCAGTAGCTTTCATCTCTTTTCCATCGTCCCATAGTGCTCTTTGAGAAAAGAATGGTGTTATTGTTGAATTAAATGACTTGACTTTGGTGGGAGATTAAAGCAGAAAGGCTTTGATCTGTAATACCAATGCCAACACCTTTTCCAGGGATACACTAACCACCAGCAGAAAGCTAAGATCCACAGGTTTTAATTAAAGGCTTGAGACAGAAAGCACATACTTATTACGAGGCACATTTTCAGGAGACTGGCAAAGTTGTGAATGCACATGGAGTGCAGGCCAGGAACAGAGCAGCATTAGAGTACCAGGCACCTAGGCAGGCTCCAGATCCTCTATGCCCCCGTCATTTGCACATTCTGTCCCTTCTGTGCTTCGAAGATGTTGCCTTAAATTTCATGTTAAGTGTGTCTCGAGAACGTAGAGTCCCTGAGAGAGCTAATCCCCCTGTCCTGCCTTCCAGACCGGCGCCAGTGGTGTGCCATAGCCGTCCTCTTTGCAGTCCTGTTGCTCGTGCTGATCCTCTTCTTAGTGCTGTGACGTGGGGCCGTGGTGTGAGTTCCTCCTGCACGTGAAGCGAGGGAGGAGGAGAAGCGAGCGCACGTCAGCTGCCGTCCACTTGCGCCCTCCCCCAGGAGCATCCTGCTGCACTGACTTTTCTGTGTGCCTCCACAATTGAGACAGCTCCACCGTCCCAGTGCTGGGAGGGCTGGTGGGAAGAGGAAAGCGATGACGACGGAAGCCCCATGCCGCCTGTCCTGTTTTGAGGGCAGGTAGCCACTGCTTTGCCTCCCTGGACTTCATTGCCTGAGGAGGGACTCTGAGTAATCCAGAAAAATTAGCAGGCTCGCTAGTGTCTTGCTGTTGCTCATCCCATATATCTTTGGCAGCTCTTTTCTGCTCAGACCCTTGCCCCTGCTCAAACAGCGCACACTGTCCCATCAGGAGAACCCTGTCAGGAATGCGGGCTTCTGGGTATGTCTTGTTTACCATTGCTGTGGCATTTTTTAGCCCCTGAGAGCTGATTATTAATAAGGACAGAAGGCTCCAAAGTAGTTTGTGACAGAAAATGCAGTGTTTCATTTTTCAGGGATAAGTGTATCATGAAATTGCTTTTCCAGGTGCATTTTTTTGTGGTAGGAATAACTAATGGAAAATAATGAAATACCCTGAGGCTTGGGGTTGGTAACAACTTGTGGCTTTAATTGACAGGAGCAATTAAAGAGAGCAAGAGGACCCTGCGTTGGCAAAGTTTAAGGAAGGGTCAGTGATGTCACCAGAGGTCAGGGCCAGAGCCTTGCCAAGTTCATGTTGCTGTATCAGGGCTTCCTCCCAGAGAGGCAACTTGCATTTTTAGGGTGACTTAGCTATATTGCTGCTAAACAGCTCAGCAGCACACTTGAATGAATTAGGATACTGGATTATCCTCATCAACAGTTATTGTATTCCTGTGGCACTCTATGTTGGGGGGATGGGATTGGGAGTGGTTAGTACATTTATTACATTTACTCACTAACCATATGTGAATTAGGATACTGGATTATCCTCATCAACAGTTATTGTATTCCTGTGGCACTCTATGTTGCGGGGATGGGATTGGGAGTGGTTAGTACATTTATTACATTTACTCACTAACCATATAACAAAAAACTTTGTTTTCTTGGTGGCTGTCCAGTACGGGGAAAAGTCCTATTCTGGACCAGACTTCTCTTACCCTGTGAGTAATGGCGGGGATGGGTAGGTGAAATTAGTTCTTTCTTTCCCCAAAGATGACAACTTGATTTGATCATCCATTCAAATAACTGAGCCAATCCAAATTCAAATGATAGATTCTTTGAGTTTAGGTAGCTGAAACTGCTGAGACACTAAACTGCAAGCTTCTGATGGTTTTTTAAATGCCCGAAATGTGCACATGTACATAGGATATTTTTATAGCTTCCCTGATGAATAGTCTGATATTAAAGTAGCAGTTGGACCCAGAGCCAGAACTCGGCAGTGGAGGCTGCCGTTCTCCCCTCACTGTCTTCTTTTGCACTTGGAAAGAACAGCAACATCTGGGAAGAGTTCTAGCTTTAACTTCATTTTTTTGGGTGCATTCCTCCGCACACTAATTTTCTTTTTTTATCTTTTTCTTGTTTGTATTTCTTGTGGTTTTGTTTTAGTTTTTTGGTTTTTTTTCCTTTTCTTTTTGTGATTTGCAATGATGTGCTTGCCCAGCTAACTTTTAAGTTGCACTTTTTAATAAGTGGGGGTCTTCCTTCTTTTTTTTTTTTTAATTAAAAAACAAAAGAACTTATTGAAAACAGGTACTTTTCAGCAGCTCTGATTAAAACAAATCAGCTTATAGATGCCATTACTCAGGAAAACAATAAGAACAAAAGTCTCAGGAAAAGGAGAATAAAGCAACTTGGAAAGAATTCAATTTGAACAGGTCTGAATTACAAGAATGGTCATGTTGCAAAATAATACAAAATAAACAAAGAGCCATACGTGAGAAAACTGGTTGCCCTCAAGCCTGGGGTGAAAGCTCTAGTTCCCAGATTCCTGGAACACAGCCCACGTTTCTTTGGGGCAGAAAGGCTGACTGGAGCATGAGGATCTCACTGCTGACTGTACATGCTAGTCCAAGCCCAGAGCACAGGCTAAACACATGGAATGAGGCTACCAGACAAGTCACACCTGCTCCCTCCCCCCCATAAACCCCATAACAGACGTGCTCTCTGTAGCGTCTACGGACCTGGCAGGGACCACTGTACCACAGATAGCTTAGAGACAGTGACTCTGCAGCCAGTCACACACAACCCTATACTGATCTAAGCCCTATAATTCCCATATCCACATTCCCACTAAGTATAGAGATAGAGGAACAAGACATGGAAGCTGCCTCCAAACCAATTTTTGGTGTTGGGTAAATGGGGGTAAACACACTGTTCCAGAAGTCAGCTTGAAAAGAACTACTGGGCGCAGCAGGTGAAAGATTTCGAAGTCCCATATAGTGCCCCCGGAGGAGGAAAGGATGTGCGTGTTCTGCTGCCGTAGTCACTGCTGCCACCTGGTCTGCTCAGCTGCCCTGGCCTGGTTTGTACAGGACCTGCCCTTTCATGGCCCAGAGCTCTCACGTCTTTGGACGTAAACCTCCCAGCCTCGAGCATACATGGAGATGCCAGATCAGAGGGTTCTCTCGGGAGGATGAGTAGGCAGTCTTCCCGAGCACGCAGGGTCCTTCCGTACCACCTCCATTGCAGGTAGGGCAGGGCACAGAGGATGCCAAGTTGCAGGAGGCAGAAGGCAGCAGCTCAGAGAGCAGGGAGGAGGATTCGGCTGGGAGGAAGAGGATGACAGGAAGTTTCCATTGCGTTGTCGCGGCAGGCAGTGGCCGGGATCACCTGTGCTGGAAGGCATGAACAGCAAAGCCTTACTTGACTGGTGCAAGAACTGTGTCTCCCCCTTCCTGGATTCCTTAAGAGGAACACTGCTCTCTGCTCTGGAACTTCTCACTCAAAAGAAACAATAAGCCGGAAAGGAGGACATCTCTTCAGGGTCCCAGACGTGCCCATTGAAGCTCCATCCTGTCAAGTTTGGCTTCTCATTGTTAGGTTCATATGCTGCTGCAGGTTTGGGCAAGATGGCTAGAGAGCTGCTTAGTGTTTCTCAAGACCTGTGGATCCAGTTGGGTGGTGTTGATCCTCTGCAAGTCAGTGGCTGATCATAGCATGCTTTTTCCGCTGCCCACTGGCACAGTGAGGAAGCTCTCTGCTGTCAGCAGGAAGCTGCTGTCCACTGAGACGCTGCACATCTGCTCTTTGGCTGCTGGATTGCGCAGGTCAGAGGTCTTGAACACCGTCGTGTCAAACCTGGGTGTCAGGTGTGAAGTTGGTTTCACCATAGACAACTCCCATCAGCCCACAGCTGGGGCGACAATGTTATGTCTCCATATCTGTTCTTGTCTTTTTCTTGTATAACCTGGATTCTCCCCTTGGAGGGAGGACACCTTTTGAGTCTTGCAGTTTGAAGGTTATGTGTATTTTCTCCTTCCGCTATCATTTCATCCATTTGTACTGTATACTTCAAAACATCATGTTGTGCAAGATAAAAACATGCAATGTTATCTGTCAGTTAAAAAAAAGCATCGGTGTGACTTCTGTGAGCTGTACTCCTATGTGTGGATTGGCTGCATGATTATGGAGCTTCCTTGTGACTGGATGTTGTGGGACCATCCTAAGAGGGCGGCTTCTCATTCACCATCTCTGGCAGTTGAATTTGAATTTGGTGGCAGAGGCTGCAGAGCCCTTCCCCTCTCAGCTGGAGCAGCAAGGTTTTTCTGTCCTTATTTCAGGACCTGCAGCCTCCACCTAGCACCTTGGCTCCTGCTATGAAGAGTGGCAGTTGGATGGCCAAGACCAGCTCGTGAGAAGCTGGAAGTTCACATCTTCTCTTAAGGACTTTGACCACCATGGTACAAACACTGCTGGCATTCTGCTTAGCCAGGCAGAGCCTCCTGCAGAAGGTCGCAGAGCTATGCAGCCGGGTGGGCACTCCCGTGGCTCCCCATGGTACCATGCCAGCGGGGCTAGTAATGCACATGCTGTGTGTTCCCAGCTGTTTTGTGAACAACTCACAATCTGCACAGACACCTCAAAAAGGAAAGAAGGCAGAGATTGCTTCAATGTGGGGTTGATGTCTCATCTCTCCGTTTCACTTCCTTTCCTATTCTGGTGGCTTCCCATGGCGTCCTGTACATCCTGTTCCCTGAGCATATTTGCCATAGGGGAGGTCATGCTCAGAGCTGCTTTTCCCTTGCGGCTGTGCCACCTCTCTGGCCCCTGGTGTGCGTCTTCAGAGGCCTGGCTGCTACCGCGCACTTTCCTCAGACCCAGTCTCGCCTTGCCAGGGGCTCCAGGTCACCCCAACCTCTCAGCTGCCACATAGTGCCTTGGCACCAACTGCCAGTTCCAATGGATCCAGAACCTTCCGGCCCCAGACATTCTGTCATATCCAGCCCCCTCTAGGGACAAGTGCAGAAGACTGCTGGCTTCAGCTGACACTGAATGGGAGGAAGGGGAGAGGGAAAAGCATACAGGACCAGTCCTCCTTAGAACGAGCAGTTTCATGCACTTCCCAGCATGAGGGCTTTGTAAGGATTGATGACATTTGCATTTTTAGAACTTTCATTAACCCAATACCCAAACGATGGCAGGAAAGAAAATTCAGACCATATTACAGCTCTAAGTGGACTTACTAAAAAATAGAAAGTATCAAACGATGGCAGGAAAGAAAATTCAGACCATATTACAGCTCTAAGTGGACTTACTAAAAAATAGAAAATATCAGATATTTGGGCCCCCGAGATGTCTGAAAACTCATTTCTTACCACCATGATAGGGTCATCTAAAACCTCTCAGATAGTTTTAACTGTTTGGATAGACTACACAGATGGCAGGAAAGAAAATTCAGACCATATTACAGCTCTAAGTGGACTTACTAAAAAATAGAAAGTATCAGATATTTGGGCCCCCGAGATGTCTGAAAACTCATTTCTTACCACCATGATAGGGTCATGTAAAACCTCTCAGATAGTTTTAACTGTTTGGATAGACTACACAAGGCTCCTAGGTCTACTGCTTTGAATGACTTGACTTGGTTTTTTCCACCATCACCCCTCCCTCCCAAATCAATTCATTTGCCATTGTCTATCCATTTTCATATGATTATGACCGGAGCTGCCATGTAAGGTTGTGCCCTGCACAAGGTCATCCCACTGAGGGCACAAAAAGGATCAAAATCCACTCTGTTCTGCTGGCCAACCCATGTGACCTGTCCTGGGCCAGTGTCCATCCAGAAGAAGGGAACATTTTTCTTATTTTCGTAAATGTTCTGTATGGGTTAGCTGTGGCCCATGAGCTGTGCTCGTGTCGTCGGTTGGTTCACAAGCCAGAAACAGAATAAATGGGCAGAGTTTAGTGCTGTAATCAAGCAAGATTTACAGTGAACACACATTTAATGGCATATGTGGTTTTGTCTTTCTCCGTGATGAACCACCGATATAAGTTGTATATTTAGTTCTTTTTTCTCAGCCACGCCAGCTGTGGGGAAGCAAGAAGTGAATGTCTTGCAGAAGCAGGCCACAGCGACACCCTCGGCGTGTTCCCCCAGGACCACAGTTGGGGCTTCTTTCTCTGCAGAGGCCCCACAGTCTGAGTATTTCCAGAAATCTTATGCCTTTTTCTGGTAACTAGAGCTGGAAGAGAGAAGCCTGTTCTTCTGGAATGGTGAAACTGTGAGGATATGAGATTTGTGCTGGGAGCCATGTCCCCACCCCAGGGAAGAAGCCATCCAAATCTTGGATTTGATTCCTTGGATTCCCACACTGCCCAGATCCTGCCTTTCAAATAGCTTCCCTCTTTGTGCTTCAGCCAGTTTGAACAGGTTTCTGTTACCTGCACCCAGTTAAGATTAAGATAACATTCAGCTCATGAGGGGGAGAGTCGAAGCTCAGAGTCTGCATCCTCTGTCCCAGGAGACACCCCCCACAGGCTAACCATGGCATCTTGGGGTCCGCAGGAGGTTCCTGTGATGGGAGCCCACCTATCCACAGACATTTGTGGAGTACCTCCTGCATGCCAGAGGAACACAACAGTTCCTACTGTGGGGAGTTACCCTGCAGTGGGAATAATGAATTGATCCACTTTGTGGCTATTATGAGTGCAGTGGACAGGGAGAGAGATGCAGGAGCCAGAAATATCCCTGGGAAAGTTACCATAGTAAGTCATGATGCATAAGCAAGCAAATCGCTCAGCCTGGCCAGCAGGAAATGAGACAGAGAAAGGGCAGATTTAGAACGGGAAAGGGGAGATGCAGGGCAGAAGCCTGACCGGAGTGAGCGAAGGCTCCTAGGGAAGAGACAGCTCAGAAGACGCGTGGGCAGACGGTAGGCACCGAACTGCCTTCGGGCCTGTCTGCTGGGGAGGGGGCCGGCGGGGCGGGAGGTCCTCTGCGGCAGCCGCACCTGAGTGATTGTAGCGCCGCTGCAGGTGCTTCAGCTCCACCTGGAAGGTCTGCTGCCAGCCCCTCAGCAGCTGCGTGTACCTGTCCCAGTGGTCAGGCGCCAGGTTCTCCACCATCCATGGTGCCTGCGGCTCCTTCTGCCGAGTGACACTGTCATACGTGGTGATAGGGTGAGAGTCCACGTCCCCAACTGAAACAAATTCAGGGACCCCATGACCAGGGTCTGACACGCCCAGGTGAAAATACCTCAGAGAGTGAGTTCCTGGGAGGGAAGCAAAGGAGGCAGGTGTTTAGCGGCACAGACGATCCAGGCCCGTCACCTGCCTCCCGTGTATTCCACCTCGGAGCCCCGCATTCAGCTGCACCCTCCTCTCCCAGGACAGCGCTGCTGGTCCCTCAGCAGTTACGGAACCCAGGAATGGGGGCCTGGAAAGGACTTCAGGGCTCCAGCCCAGCGGCAGAGCCTTTTTTGTTCAGGTGTGGAACCTCAGGGCGACATTTTACAGTAATCTCAACTAGCAGGCGAAGTGCAGAGTGCTGCTCTGGTCTCTGGGAAGGGCCGAAGACCTCTCGGGCCCTCAGGGGAAGCCGTCCCTGAGGGAGCCCTCAAGAACTTCAGGGTTTGCAGACTCTGAGACCCCAATCCACTTGTTTTACCAACAAGGCGTCTGGGTAGATAGATGAGGGTCCCCACCCCGGCACTGTGCCTGCAGCTGTGGGCACACACACACCAGGCCAGTCAGAACCCCTGTAAGGAATCAGGCCTGAGAAAAAATTTTAAAGCACAGTGCTTCTCCTATTTTTCCAAACCACCTCTGTTAACCATTTGTTTCTTTTACCTTTTCTCCTGGCTAAATATTACTACAGTAGTCCCCCCTTATCTGTACCCCCAGTGGATGCCTGAAACCTCAGTACCAACCCCAGTCTTTGTCAGATGGAACACGTTTCTGTTCATGTCTTCCACCCACAAATTTGATGCCTTTTCCATCTTAAATTCTTACCATGCACCGTGGCCGTAACTTTGCAGTTTGAGGCATGATAGCAAAAGTAGCAGGAATTTCTTCTCCCTTCTTTCACGCATAGGAGATTTGTTCCTACTGTAGATATTAGCAAGCCTGGCACACGATGTTCTTACCATGCACCGTGGCCGTAACTTTGCAGTTTGAGGCATGATAGCAAAAGTAGCAGGAGTTTCTTCTCCCTTCTTTCACGCATAGGAGATTTGTTCCTACTGTAGATATTAGCAAGCCTGGCACACGATGTTTTTCTTTTTTTATTAAGATAAGAACTTTCACTTTGTCACTTAAAGCATTTTACAGCTTCTCTTTGGCATATCCGAATTGCCAGCATCAACACTCCTGTTCTTTGGGGCCATTATTAAGTAAAATAAGTGTTACTTGAACACAAGCACTGCGATGCCTTGACCTTTGATCAGATAACGGAGAGGGCTACTAAGTGCCTATAGGGCAGGTAGTGTATACAGCATGGATCGCTGGACAAAGGGATGATTCACATCCCAGGTGATATGGAGCGGGACAGCGCGAGATTTCATCATTTTACGTGGAATCCTGTGCGATTATAAACTGATGAATTGTTTTTTTCTGAAATTTTCCATTTAATATTTTCAGACCTCGGAAAGTGAAACCACGTGTAAGGGGGACTACTGTATTACGTTGTGGAATGGTTAAATCTAGCTAATTAACAAATGCATTACTTCACATCATTATTGTAGAGGTGGTCTTTAATGTCCAGCTTCCCTTACCAACTCCAGCCTTCAAAACATATACTTAAATAAGAGGTCTTAGTCTTATAAGTCCCACATTGGTCTGTTGTATGTGAATATGGATGCATTTCTCACCCGTTTACTTGATAATGCTCACTGGTAAATTGCTCTCGTGTTGAATCCAGAAAACTAAGAGAGTCTTGAGTAGAATAGAACAATCCTTCAAACCTGAACAGCCCTGCTGTGAATCTCTTGACTAAAGCCTGGTGCCTCGTGGCCCAGGGTTGGGGGAAACTCCACAACAGCTGACTTCCATAGTTATCGTCTTTAAGGTAGACTCAGAGAGACTTGGGATCATTTTGCTCAATCGTCTTGCAGAGATGAAACAATTGCAGCTCACCCCAGCATACATGGTGGTCCTTTGATGCATTGCATTCTGGACTTGGCCACTGGGAGCCCAGGCACTCTCTGGGATAAGCTGAAGGCCCTTGAAGCTGACCTCAGTGACTTAGGGTAGGCTGAGTCTAACGTGGCATGCTTACTCCTCACCACAGGCAACTTGGTGGTTTTATGCCTTTTGGACAAACAGTGAAGCTCTGAAAGTTGTAGTGGTACCTTGGTCAGGTTGCGGCGATCTAGATATATTTGGGAGTTCTTTTTACAGTGTCTTTACTAATACAGATATTGGGGGGTGGGAGGAGAAAGAAAGAACGAACTTGGTTTCCCTCTGCCATAAGCTGAAATGTTGATGTTGTTTTCCTTCTGACATGACCTTTGTCCAGAAGTGCCTTCCCCATGGCTGTGTAGTCACTGTGCTTAGACAGTTATTGTTCTAATGCCGGTCCTACTGCTTGGGTTTCACATGAACACTTCATGGACCTGCTTTGCCAACTGCAGCCAGATGCTTGTAAGAAAGTGTATTTCACCAATTTTGTAAAGGTTATGAGTTATCAGACCCAGAAGCCATTCGGTTATTCAGGGGGAGTAAGACCACCCAACCTCATTGTTCTCTGGCCAGAGCTCTCCAGCCCCATTTCCCAGCCCTCCTGGCAGCCCAGTACTCCGCTCCAGCTAAGCTTTCTGTCAGCCCTGGGGTGGGACCAAGTCCAGGGTTGTTCTTTCCTGCTCTGCAGAAAGTAGATTTTAGCTGAGATCCTACTGCTGAATGGCAAGTGTTAAGGTCTGCAGTTAAGATCTGTTCTGGAGATAACAGAGTATCTGTGCCATCATCTGTGTGGGGTGAGGACAGGACAGCCAGGTGTTCCACTAGGAAGTTTTTGGAACTGCTTTTAAGCTCCATGTGATTACCTTCTAACTGACCCAGGCTGGGCTCAGCTCTTGACAGACTTCAGAGACTGCCCACAGCGGGGGGTGGCCTAGAAACTGTCTAGGAAAGGGCCAAGAGACCAGGCTGTAAGTGACCATGGGCTCAGTTTTTGTAAGTGGAAATATGCCTTCACTGGCTCATTTGTAATCAGAAATTAGTGTAATTCAAAAATAGAATGTATAATACATGGCAAAACTCAGCAGGAATAAACCATTGTATTTTTCCCCAGGATAAATAACCTTACAGCATTTTAATTTTAAGTAACTAGAAGGTACAAACCAAAGAAGTGGGATCAAGGGTTAGAATTGTGTGTGTCTGGGTGGTTTCCAGATGGGGGCTCCCCCATGGGCATAACGAGAAGAGGGACAGAGCCCTGGTGCCAGAATTTGGCAAACACCAGCCACAGGTAGGTTTTTGTGTCCTCTATAAGGGTGAGTCTCCAGGTGTGATGTGTAACCAGCTGCGTCGGCAGCATCACCTGGGAACTTGTTAGAAATGCAGGTTCTCAGGCCCTACCACAGACCTACTGAATCAGCCACTCTGGGAGTGAGGTCGGCAGTGTGTTTCCACAAGCCCTCCAGGGGGCTCTGATGCCATGCTGACCTGACAACCACTGCCACAACATCGGGGACTTTAGGACATAGTAAAACATACTTTAAAACACCAAGGTCACAGGTTTGGATCCCATACTGGCCAGCCACCAAAATACATACATACATACTTACATACATACATACATTAAAAAAAAACATTCCTGCAAAAGAAAACGTCATCCATGGCTTCAATTGGAATCCTGACGTGAAGTAAAATGTGATGATGCTATAAACTTGAAATCTTTTTAAAAATATTTGTATAAGACAAAACAACTCAACTATCCATCTGTAAAAGTGATGTTTTTACACCTTGAAGTCTATCAGTCATGTTTCTTACTTCTCTACTCTTGAAATCGTGATAAAACCGTATAAAGACTTGTTCAGTATTAAAGAGAAACGGAGAGACCATGAGCTTTGTCCTGGGTGTTTTTCTGTTTGGTTGGCTGGTTGCTTCTTGTTTCGCTTGAGTCCTTTTCATGTCCAAGCACAGCTCCCGCCCCCACTGTCAATGCGCACGTGCCGTCTGCTGGAAGAGCTGAATTATGGATTGCGCTTTCTCTGGCCAAGCAAGTTATATGAATTCTTAAACCCCAAAATAATCATACCATGTATTCAAATATTACAGTTTCAATTGGGACGAGTAGTCTTGGGGGCAGAGAGACTAGAACAGAAAGGAGTCGAGTCCTTTGTTCCCCCCCTCCTGAAGTGCCGGCAAACAAGATACTGGCCAGCTGGGTTGCTGGTTGCACGCGCCCGCCCTAAGTTCTGTGTGGGACAAGCTGCTGTGACTGCTGAGCTCCTTAAGGGCAGGGATGTTGCCATTGTTGTCCTCACTGATACTGAGGACCTTCTCTGTGCCAGGCACTGTTCCAACTACTTTGTATGAACTCATGTAATCCTTGAAATGGTTCTACGAAGCTATGAAGTTTCCTCATCTACCTCATATCTACAGATGAAGAAACTGGGACCCAGAGAAGTCATTTCCCCAAGGTCACACAGCTGGTGAGAGGCCAAGCCACTTGCTGTACCCCCAGTGCCTAGCACAGAAAGGGGCATATCAGTGCTGCCCAGGTCCCCAGTTTGACATCTCCCAAACATTGTAACGGCTAGGCAGAAAGGATGCAGGCAAATCAACATGCCAACATGCCGACCAGCCTTGCGAGAGGAATCAGTGCTTGTTTTGAGAGAGATGGTTATATGGGTCCCTGAGGAAAGCAGATCACTTCCCAGACTCAAGGGAGACACAGGGACAGTGTGGCTTTGACAGGAGACAGCTTGCATTTACAAGGCTGAGGGAGCCAGTGCCACCAGTGCCCGATTCCACCCATGGCTCTGCTGCACAGCAAAAGCGATTTGCTGTCATTCCAGAGGTCCCCACTGACTATGAGTCTTACATTAAACTCATATTGAAAATATTAAAAGGGCAAGACCTGAGGCAAAAGTGAAACTCCCAGGAAGGGAAGGCCTCTCCATGCTGCCACAATAGGTCACCGTCCAAGAGGACAAAATTCAAGTCAGTAAACTGGCACCTCCAGGTGTCAGTTGTCTGGAAACAGGCACCTCCTATGAAGGTGCTGACAGACGGAGCGTTTGTGCAGTGGCTCCTGTTTGTGCAGGTGCAGGCAG